GATAGGTATCAGTTGAATTACCATCAATTTCACACGAATATGTTATTTCTTATCCTTTTTATATTTTTTCTTCATATGATCATGCAATAGATATTTAAGATAACGTATTTGTTAAATGATCCTTAATCTAGATGTCGCTGTCATAAATTGTTTTGTTGCAACACGGTGCAATGCTATTATCTAAAATTTGACGTACAAGGTTTTGGTCTAGACATACATTAAATTGAATATTAATCTCGAACAATGTTTCTACACCCGTCAAGTCATAAAAACAATAGTGAATCCCTTAAAAATGTATCGTCTAGTGTGTAAATCCATTAAGATGTTGACATTGTATACACGTGCATTTGAATAAATCAACATGACTATATGACTATACATGACTGAATATTTGTGTAAATGCATAATTCATTGTTTTGACTACAGAGATATATCAAGATCTTTAATTTTTCTTATATTTTTTACTTTTATTCTTAATGTTTTAGGGGACAATATCAGAATTATTACAGACAGAGTAATCATTTTGCACATTTCTGCACGCTTAATCATGATTAACTTTTAATGTTTTGCAGATAAAGCTGTGGCCAAAGAAGAGAAAATTGTATTAAGAGGTAGCATTATCATTTAATCTGTGACATAATACCGATCAGATTGAATCAAATCTTCTTCAATAAATAACATAATTTTTCAAAACTAATAAAGAAAGAGTGTGTAGAGAACTGCCGACTATTTCTTTATTTCTTGGCACGTCAAAGAATGATTTTAATATTTGAAAGTGAGCAAATTCTCGTGTTTAAAATTTTAATGTATTGAATCCCAGTGCATATTTTTTCACGTGATAAAGAAATATTCATTTCCTTTTAAGGCGTAAAATAAAAATTATGTAAGACCAATAAAAATGTGTTAAATAGTTCAATTGTTCATCGTGTAATCATATACATATACCATTCAACGGTAAATAAAATTAAAAGATGTCATAGAAGGAAAAAATAATTGAAAAACTTCTTGTAATATATAATATTAATGAACAAAGAACCATATTGAATATGTTTTGATTTTTTTACCTCTTGGTTTATGACAGTAATTAATTTATCAATTCATGCAAAGATTATGTTGTCGAAGTAATCCTTCAAAAGAATTATTATCATTTTGGAATTAGGTTAATTAATTACAGAATGTCATAAAACTTTCTGTTTCAAACAAATAATCATATTTGTTTTCCTTAGCTATTGAAACATTCTAACTCATTTCCGTTATATCAAATTTAGAAATAATTTACCCATTACACAGCTGCGACTGAATCTACCCAGCCAAAGAACAGACGATAGTTCATATCGTATGACCATAGTCTGATATATTCGCTCTACAGTCAGATCTTTTTTTTGTTTTGGATATGTTTTTCTTCAAAAATGTGAATAGCCTTGTCGAGAGATGACAGATAAAGAAGTTTATTTTAAAAATTCAGTTGGCTAGAAGGTCAGCAATCATGTTGTCGAAGAGACAAATTGAAAACGGTTTTTCCCTAACTACATTAACTTTGATTTATGTAAAAGAAACAAATTCATGAGTTTTAACCATCTTTTCATTCACATGTTCTTTTTTTTAGGGGAGCCGGGTCATTACACATGCAGTATTTCCAGACTCTTTCCTGTTAAAAGTTTTTTTTAAATGGACTATAAATTAATTGCCCGGTGGCCTATATAGAGCAAGCATGTAAAGATGAATTTAAGACAAGAGCTGATAGCAAGTTATCAACACCAAAACAGTAGATAAGGAAATAAATACATTTATGATATAAAATAATATAATTTCTATTTTACCGGATACATTACTGATATTGAAATGTCTAGTGTTTTATAGCTTATTTTCTATATAGTTTATACAAATTTATTTTAATTCGATTGTGTTGGAAGCTATAAGCTTATTGAAACACTCTCAACTCTGTTCCTGGAACAAACCAATACTACGCAAGGATTGTAAAGTCTCTTGTAGAAGGACACAACGGCTTGTTATATCATATTATGAGATGTTATATTTCCGATCTTTGAAGATCGATCAGCAAGACATTATTGCTGTATATGTGCTACTTTTACTTTTCGGCATTTTTCTAGTTGGGAAGTTCCAATATTCCTACTTGAATAATGTTGAATTACCCTTGCTTTTTAAAGGGAAAAACAAGGTTAGAATAAAAACTTGATTTAAGAAAACGAATACTATAAATAATAAATCTGCAAATTTTCTGCCGCCAAATGATAATATTAAACGAATGATAACGAAATTTAAATCGCTAAATCGCCGATTTCTACAAATCAGTAGGCGCGGCCATGTTTGTGTATTGGCCGTATAAAAACAGGTGCGCGTGATGTCATTTCCCCACATCTTCAGATTTATGATAAATCTAGTTGAATCGTAGCGAAATATTTACATAATTAAGTATTGACCAGACAATTTAATTTTCACAGGAGGTGAAGATGCGATTTTTTTATTGTTCAAAATACGTAACAATATCAAAAAATAAAAAATAAAAATAATAACAAAAAAATAAAGAAACAATTATAAATTAACGTCTACCGGTCGCACCACTTCAGGCCAGTGATGCCCGTTACTCCAAACAATGCTATGTTCATTAAAGACTCATCTTAATGTAATTAAACAATATTTCACAGAAATAATAAATACACATGTTATTATTTAACAAAGTTTCACAATCAAATAATAGTTACGTCCCTTGAATGAAAAGTTTGTTGACATTTTGCGGAGTTAAAAAGTTGTATTTAAACAGTGTTTTGTGAACATTTATGGACAATTTTCGTTGTGAGTGATCGGGAAGGATATTTTGATAGGATTCTGTGATTTGGAGGTGACTGACTTTATTTTTGGGAACTCTATTGATAAACTTTGTAGATTCATGTAGTATTGACGATCTATTTTTAGTAACACTACCTGTACTTTACTATTGTATCGATAACCGGTCAATCAGCTATAGTGTAAACCTCCGATTACCTGGATTTTCGTCACGCTTGAATAGAGCGCACTCGCACTATTACTGACTGGATAGACAGAGTCGTTATTAAGTGTTCGCTATGGAGAAATCGAGCGTTAAATCGAGCGATGCCCAGGAATACGTTGATTCAGTGATGTTATCACAACGTATAGAACGTATTGCCACACCAGTACAAAGTGGCAGAAAACGTAATGCTTCTGAACCGCTTGATTCGACAGTAAAAAAGGCTCGGACGCTATCCACTGCAAGACGAACCCTCTACAATGAAGGACCCACCCCAGCTCCAAGAAACATTGTTGTAGCTCATGCGGATGTACATGCAAATGGTAACCCGTCGGTAGAGCACTTGATCAACAAACTGTCGGCGGATATGCACATGCTTTTCGGCTCTATCACAGAACGCATGGATAAACTTGAAAGTGGTATTGAGCAGAAAATAGCTAATAAAGTGTCCCAAATTCTGGACAAAAGAGTGAATACTGAACTTAACCGTATCCGTAAAGATGTCGACGATAAATTATTGTCTATGAAAGATTCACTCCGTGACGAGATAACCGAGGAATTGGATGTCATTAAGGCTAGAATAGACAGCTTGCCAGTAAGAGACGTGCAGAGTCAGCAAAGGTCTACAGCGGATGACAGGTCTCTAAACGTGGTTATTCGTGGACTCTCGGAGACTCAAGGAGAAGATACGAGGGCAAAAGTTAGCAAACTCATCCGTGATGGGCTAAAAATAAGAGACATATCTTGTTCTGCGGCATCCCGGAAGAAATCATCCGTAGAATCAAAGCCGGGAGTTATTATAGCCCAATTCAGCACACATGAAGATAAACGAAAGGTTATGTCTGCAAAGCGTGACTTGAGAAAAAATCAACAATATGAGCATGTTTATATTAACCACGATCTATCTTCAGCAGACAGGTTGATGTCCAGCAACTTCCGGACTATTATTAATGCACTCCACAAAAGTGACTTATCAGTGAAAGGTTCTCGTGTGGTGCGCACTAATAATAGAGAAAGCGCGAACTCTACTGGTTTTCAGAACCGTGACAGTCAGCGTTCTAACAGTCGTGATTGTGACTCTCGTGATCATCACGATAACAGTGATCGGTATAGTGCGCGACCAGGAGGGGATCACAGCGGATGGTCGAAATCGGCACCAAGAAGTAACGGGCGCGGAAGGAATGGTGGTTACCGTGGCCAAAATCGCCGTGGGTCCTACTAGGTGAAATGCGGGTTTTGGAATGTGCGCGGATGGAGTATGGACAGTGACTGTGATAATTATATTTTACGTGAATCTTGCCTTTTAAAATGTGACCTTGATATTTTAGGAATTGCAGAAACTCATCTTTTACATGATAATGTTTTACAAGTAGAAGGTTATAAATGGTTTGGTTTAAACCGTACAATAATACACAAGCGTGCCAAGTTAGGATCCGGGGGTATTGGATTTTTAGTTAAAAACCAATTGTTTAATGTTTTTGATATTAGTATTGTGCAAAATTCATTTGAGGGCATTTTGTGGTTAAAATTGGTACATAAAATTACTAAAGATGCGATATTTCCATGTGTATGTTATTTACCTCCAGAGAATTCTTCTCGTTATTTTGACGTACATGCATTTTATGATAATATTTTAGCAGATATATATAGATTTCAAAATGAAGGTGTGGTGTATGTTTGCGGAGATTTTAACAGCAGATGTGGAGATTTAGAAGATTTCATTTGTGGAGTAGATAGTTTACCGCCCCGTGATGTCATAGATTTTGTAAAAAATTCGTATGGGGAACTTTTTATTGATTTTCTGATTAATACAAATATGTGTATGCTTAATGGAAGGAACTGTATTAAAAATGATTTTACGTCTATTTCTGTTAAAGGTACAGCTGTAGTCGATTATTGTGTCACGTCTCACGAAAATTTAAAATTGTTTAAAGATTTTTGTATTGTACGTGTTTCAGATTTGATAAATAGTATTGATTATGTGAACACTACAATGCCAGCTAGTATCCCAGACCATTCGTTACTTATGTGGAATATTAACTACGAGACAAATGTCAATATAAGTAAAAGTAATACTATTTCGATAGATGCCAGTAGTTCTTTTGATAAGTTTGAATTACGTAATATACCTAATGATTTTTTAAATAGTCATGATACTACAGAACAAATAAACACTGTTATAGAAAAGTTAGAATCAGGTATTAACACCCAGACTGATATTGATAATATATATTTGGATTGGTGTAATATTGTTAAAGATAACATGTATAGTAAATTATCATATAAAACGGTAAATATTAGTAGCTCTCATAGAAAGCGAAGAGCTGGTAAGCCATGGTGGTCTGATAAGTTATCAGATCTTTGGAATATTATGTGTCATAATGAACGCAAATGGCTTGATTGTAAGAATAGAAGTGATAAGCTACATCTTAAATCTGTGTATATTTCTAGTAGAAAAATTTTTGATCATGAGGTTCAGCGTTGCAAACGTATTTATTGGTATTCTATGCAGAATGACTTGTTAAACGATTGTAAAGTTGACAGTAATCAGTTTTGGAAATCAATAGGAAAAATTGGGATAGGCTATTCGAAAAATAAACAAATACCAATGGAAGTACGTTTGGATAACGGTGATATATCGTCTACTGTCACAGATGTACTCCAAAAATGGAAAACGGATTATAGTTCTCTCTTTAAAGAGTATGATGCACCTCCTCTTTTAGATTTTTTGCAAGACCCTGATTCTTCTGATAATGTTTCTTTTAATGAACGAATATCAATTTTTGAGGTTAAAAAGGCCATTTCTAGTGCGAAAATAGGAAAAGCTTGTGGGGCTGATAATATCCCGACCGAGGTTTTGAAAAATGATACGACAGTGTATTTTCTTCATGTATTATTTAATGTTATTTTTGACAGCGGAGTTGTTCCTGGTATATGGGAAAAGTGTATTATTAACCCAATTCCAAAGTCTTCTTCTGCGGACCATAGAGATCCTCTTTCATATAGAGGTATATCTTTAGCTCCTGCAGTATACAAATTATATTGTTCGGTTCTTAATGATCGTCTTAGTACCTGGGCTGAAGAAAATGAAAAACTGGTAGACGAGCAAAATGGGTTTAGAAAGAAACGCACAACTATTGATCAAATTTCTTCATTGAGTAATCTAATAGATACTAGGAAAAAGCTAAAGCAATCAACATTTTGTGCATTTATCGACTTTAGAAAAGCTTATGACAATATTAATAGAAATAAGTTATGGAAAAAACTTCATGATAGTGGTATATCAGGGAAAATTGTTAACAGCCGTAAGATCACTATATTCTAATGTCTCGTCATGTGTTCGTGTAAATTCTTATAAAACTGACTGGTTCAGTGTACATTCTGGCTTAAGACAAGGCTGCACCCTGTCCCCTCTGCTGTTCAATCTGTACATTAATGACCTTGCTGTGTATCTTAAGTCTTTGAATATTGGTGTGTCTATAGAAAGTGAAATTATAAGCATTTTGTTATATGCAGATGATATTGTTCTGTTAGCTGAAAATAAACATGATTTGCAAGTTTTGCTAAATGCTTTGGGTGAATGGTGCAATGTTAACGATATGCAAATTAATTGTACAAAAAGTAATATTGTTCACTTTAGACCACCCTATGTACAAAAGGTTGATTTTGTTTTCAAATGTGGTAATGAAAGTCTTGATATTGTTGATAGATATACATACTTGGGTATAGTTTTGACCGAACACCTCGATTTTAATGTAACAGCCAGGACAATTGCTCAAAGTGCAAGCCGTGCATTGGGTTTGGTAATTGCCAAATGTAAATTAATAGGTGGAGTACCTTTTAATGTATTTACTAAGTTATACGACTCTTTAGTTTGGCCTGTAATAAGTTACGGTGCAGCAGTGTGGGGCTGTCGATCTTTCTCCTGTATAAATGCTGTTCAGAATAGAGCAATGAGGTATTTCCTAGGCGTCGGCAAATATACACCTAATGCTGCTTTAGCAGGAGAAATGGCTTGGCAGCCACCCGTTGTTCGCCAATGGAAAACTATAGCTTCTTATTGGGCCTGTATTTGTAACACCCGTTCTACTCGTATTAATAAGCGAATTGCAGTTTGGGCAAGTGTTAAAGCTGGTACATCATGTAAAAACTGGTTCTTTTCTGTGAAGAAGCAAATAAATGATTGTAATTTAGTCAACTGTTCTGATGTAAATGTAAATGTTTCTAAAGCCTACATTGTTGAAGGTATACAATCATATATGACAAACAAGTTTATTGCTGAATGGCTTGAAACTATCAATAGGACCACGAGTGTGTCTGGTAGAGGTGGTAACAAGCTTAGAAATTATTGTACATATAAGTCAGAATTTACCACAGAGCACTATTGTAATATGATTATGCCTCCCCAGCATCGCTCAGCATACTGTAAATTTCGTTGTGGGGTAGCGCCTATTCGAATTGAAACTGGGAGATTCGAAAATTTAAATATAGAAAATAGAACATGTCCGTTTTGTCAAGCAATTGAAACTGAAAGTCATGTTATTTTCGATTGCCCTTTGTACAATGACCTTAGAATTTCTTTGCTAAGTACAATTTTGTCAATAGAACCAAACTTCTACAATATGCAGGATATTGATAAGCTGAAACTTGTATTTTCAAATCATTCACTTATTAGAATTTGTGCCAAAACCTGTAATGATATTTTAAGTAGGAGACAATTTTATCTGTGTAAATAATGTAATTTCTTTTTATGTGATATCTATATCTTTTAACTTCTCCTAGGAAGTAGATGCTAATCTGTTCATCCACGATCTGATCGGGGTGATACCTGATTCTTTAACACATTTTTTTTGAACTGCGCAATAGTGCCTTTTTTCCACATTCAGTTTTTTATCGTCGTGTATTTTAATGATTTTTTATTTAACGATTAGCGTCTGCTTCTTAGCTTTAACGATATAAGCATGCATTTAGTATATATAGCAGTAATTACGTAAGTCTTTTTATTCGTTGAATTGTTACTAAAGTCTCTTATAACTCAATATATGAGTGGCAATGTACTTTTTAAATCATGTTATATGTGTTCTATGTATATTGTTGTATGTATGTACATTGATGAGACTAAAATAAAGATTGAATATAATAATGCAATTAAATAAAAAAACGCACCAACGAATAATTGGCTGTTAATTATTGAACGGCGATAATTATCATTATTATTAAAATCCTACTAAAACGTGTTCTTAATAGTACATGTAATCAAATTTTTGCAGTTTGATTCTGACTTTCAAATTAAAAGGTGTGAACATATGTTAGTAGTGATGCACACATTTCAAAAATATAAGCAACTCTTTTGAAAAGTAAATTGTTTACATGTCTGTCAACGTATGATGCTTCGTGGTATTTATTTACATCGTAATCGTAGCCTAATATTAACTGCATGCAAAACAATTTTATTGGCTGCTCAAAAATCTCATTTGCATAATTTATTCACACAATTGCTGGCTCTTACTACTTATGACTAATACTGTGTATTATCCATTTTAATTGTTCCTAATTTGCACCAAATGTTCCTGTCACACTGTGTACTAACGGTTTTTATTGCTCCTTGTATGCCTCTTTGCCGACAGACCTTTTGATCATGCACAATGTTGTCCTGATTGGTTAATCACCCTTGTCAAATATTCTAATGACGAAATATACATATTTTTGTACGCTTCATCAGTGAACTGAATGACATTAGGGGAGTCAAGTTATACTGTAAATTACAGCATTTCATACAATAGCAACACATTTTTTCAGTTACCAATAATCAGTTTTAATATTAAGTAGATTTATGTTTTTTGTTTTATTGGATTAAATTTACGGTAGTAGAAATGCGTATCTGTGTGGTAAGTAGATAACGTGGAAAAAAGCTATAGGGAACTGGAAAAACCCGAGAATATGCGTAATAATAGGGGAATTATGCCCAATGGGCAACCTGTTGCTGTTGGTACCAGTTTTGACTGGGTGCCTAATTGACCGAACGGGCAGTTTTGTTTTCATACGATATTAGTCTAGCTGCCGATTTTCCTGCGCGATTTTATTTTTAGCGTCAATGTCGGAAAATTGCGTCCTCAGGATATATCTGCATATTGGATTAAGTTGATATTTACCGCTGAGAAAAAGATACATGACCGGCGATGTACCCTATTCAGACAGCTTGTCTAGCGAAAATTAAGTACCAAATAAAAGGATATATCGTCAATTTGAAGAAGTTTCTCAAAGTACCCAAATTAAATTGATGTTATCTTTGAAAACTAAGCAGTCATTGCTTAAATCATGTGGTGGGATCATCAGCAAGCTTGAAAATCGGACAAAATTAATGATAATTAATGCCGCGGCGTCTTCAATTTATTAATTAAAGCAATTCAATTCCATATGATGTTTTCATAAATAATAAATAATGTACGCAATAAGATTAATTAAGTTCTTAGTCAAGATATATTTCAGTTGTACCAGCGTGTACACCTTTACCGGAAGTGGGTATAACACGTCACAATCTCGGTCTCGTCTGTCTCGCGAGAATGACAGAACGCCAAAATGGCGGCGCCCATGAACTTATTTCTCAAGTAAAAAATAGTGTCTTAAAACACGAATTTCTCACTTAAAGGGTTGATGTCAACAAAAAAACTGCCATGGTACCTCTTTTTTAATGATGAATATTTATATTAGACAGACATCAATCCATCCATTCCTATTCCTTTAAGTTTGTCTTTTGACGTCTCATCTGTGATATGCAGACTTCATAATCTCTTATTCCCTTTCAAAATTCAATTTGGTTTAATTCCATCCAATGTTTTCTCGTTTAGGGCACACAATTTCCTTTACTTTGGGATCATACGCCGCTTTTTATGGAATGGAAGTGTCATATTGAAGGTTGCATAATGACCGCCGTATGAACACATCTGCTGATGTTTCTTTATTCGATATTGCACCATTTTCATGTTTAAACGTTGAATTCTGCTTAAGCCGGTGCTAGAAGGGAGTGGGGCATGGACGGTAACTTGACAGTACCGTCGGGTTTGAAACAGGAAAAACAAGAATCCCTAAAGAAAGCCCAAAACTGCAAAATTGAAAATGTATTTTATGTTGATTTTGACTTGCGGCTGGGTTCTGTTGTTCCCTAATAACGAAAGTTTACCTTGTATTTTACCACTGTTGTAACTCTCACTTCAAACAGATGAAAATATCGATATGTAATGGATGTTCATAATCAATAAAATACATAAGTTAATAGTTTACACAGTGATATTATGGTCATTTTACTTTAAACTGTTCTGTTATACAATGTTTTTTTTCTTTATGAGAAGCATTCGCTGAATAAAATTAATTTCAGAATTGTTCCGCTTAATATTAATCATATCATACTGAAATGTTATATGAAAAGGAAGTTTTACTTGTTAAAAAGAATATTACAAATATACATGTGATATTGTAAAGTACGACCGACCTTATAAGCAAACCAAGGAATTATATATGTTAAGTTTTATTACTACCTTGACCTATTTGTATATAAAGTACAGAAGAAAATATGTTAAGGAAATGGTTTTCCTGACTCCTTTTTTATTTAAACGATTTATCTAAATTATATCATTTTTGTGTCGCCTCTACGAAGTAGTGGCGACATATAGGGATCACTTCTCCGTCGTCTGTCTGTCCGTCTGTCTGTCTGTCTGTCCGTCTGTCCGTCCATCCGTCACAAAACTTGTCCGGTCTACTGCTCATAAACTACTGGTGCAATTTCATCCAAACTTTACAGGAATGATCAGTACCAAGTCTAGTTGTGCATATTGTCAGCATTTTCCGGTTCAATGATTTTTGTCAGAGTTATGGCCCTTTAATAATTTTTAATTTTAAAGTTTGTCCGGACTACTTCTCTTATACCACTAATGCAATTTCAATGAAACTTTACAGGATTGATCTGTAGCTCAAGTCCTTGCGCATATTGCACGGGTTTTCCGTTTGAATGATTTTGGCCGAGTTATGGCCTTTGATAAAAAGGTTTCTTTTCTGTGTGTGTGCCAGATACACAAAAGCTTGTCCGGACTACTCCTCATAAACTACTGGTGCAATTTCATCCAAACTTTACACGAATGAACAGTACCAAGTCTAGTTGTGCATATTGTCAGCATTTTCCGGTTCAATGATTTTTGTTTGAGTTATGGCCCTTTAAAAATTTTTATTTTTAAAGTTTGTCCAGACTACTTCTCTTATACCACTTATGCAATTTCAATGAAACTTTACAGGATTGATCTGTAGCTCAAGTCCTTGCGCATATTGCACAGG